CATGCAATGCACTTTGTATGTGTATGTACGTATGGAGTATGTACATGTTACATGAAACACGACCGCAGAAGTGGGCCACATAAGGCACCATAATCAACAGTTTGTGTGTTGTTTGTCCGAGACCTTATCTATGTTTGGTTTTACCCTTCCAAGGTTAGGTGAAATCCCTCACAATATATCTGACCCGCTTTGAACCTATCACGACGCCACGGGCCTTGACAGCTAGGCGGGGTCTGGTTAGTATAGGCGGTTCCCGCTCTTACCGCAATGCTCATCAGGGACTCTACAATATAATGATGTAAGTGTTGGGTTACTGTAGGCGGTTGGATCACAGATATTTCCGATTGTTGCGGGTGAGATTAAGATAGGTCAAGCTTGGCAGGTCAAAGTCAAAGGCGGTTTCATGCATCAATGTGCATTGGGATTTTCAGGCACGGTAACTACAGGAAGAGACGATCGCATTTGAAACTGTATTTGTCAGTGTATAACTTATCTGAGCAATATCGGAGTGGCGGCAGTTGGATGAATTGAGAAAGACCAAGGGTCCAAGCCCAAGGCATATTTTTTAATGAGTGGCGCGATCGAGACCCTAGTAGACAAGGATTATGTGTACCGTGACTGGTTAAATGCAGCCTTGCTAACTAGTATACTTTGTAGATCTCCTATTTACCATCACCAAAGTGGATTTTTTAGTTGACGATCAGGTTCTGAAGTATGAAATAACGCTGTTATGTGACTCCATGGGCATACATAGGTACGTTGACGTGTGCATCTTCAGGGATCTTAAAACCATGCGGGAAGGGCGATCCCGAGGTATGTACGGAGTATGCCGTACAAGATCACATGGCATGATGGATAATCGTATGGGTAAACCCTAGACGCTATAGTTAGACCGGGGTGAGTTGTTGAATGGTTTCGGATGTCCTTCGTCTATGTCATATTATTTGAATTTTGTTCTGGATACAGAATTCCATGCATTTGAAAGTAAAGAGACTAAATAGGCATCAAATAGTAACTACGCGTACGTACTTTGTACCTTGTAGGGAGTATGTAGGGTCTGGTATGATAGCGCTGACGTAAAAAGACTAGACACTGATGGATTTTGATGTGCTTAACCGGTTAAGATGGTTCTAAGGTTCTTCACAAATCTCACAAATCCTTTAAAATCCTATAAATCCCACTTTTGCTCCAATTCTTATATTTCTCTTCATTATATGCCAAGCCAGCCTTACATCGCGCACCCGTGAGCCTATTTCCATTTGAGATTAGTCATTTCGCATCTCGGCACTGCTAAAGGCCCTAAAAAGAATAAAAAGGAAAAAAAGAAAAGAAGAAAAGAATAGGTCGCCGGAAACGGCACAACTCCACTGGGGACCCGTGAGTCGGACCAGTCTTGCGTATCTGGCCATGTTCCGGTAGATCAGTGATAGAGAAAAAACGGAAAAAATACCGGTGCCATACGCCAGTACGCAGTTACGCAGTAACGCAGTACGGACGGAGTACACTTACTAGCCTTCATCTCTTTACTCTTGACTTTTCTCCTTCTTCTTCATATTTTTATTCCCTAACTTCGTCGACATCTCCGCCCATTGCTGCGGGCAATTTCCAAATGGCTCTCAGCTTCTTTAGTAGTGGCGGGAGCGCCAGCAGCGCCAAATACTTTGACATCAGGTGAGTGGGGGACCGGATAGCCCAGGCGAGCGACATATCTGACTTCATCCAGGTTGAATGATGAGTATATCGTGTTCCGTGGCGGCGAACATGAAGCCGCCAGTGCGCATCTGCGGGGCACTCTGGTCCTGTGTTTGTCCGAGCCGCTCACCATTAAACACCTCCGGCTACAGCTGACGGGCATGTCGCGAGTTTGGTATGTGTCGCATTCCTAATTCTGAATCAACACTACTAACAAGCCATTTGCGCAGCTGGCACCTCCCCTCCAGTGCAGCCGCCGGTGGCCGAAAGTCATGGCGTGAACGTGTGTTCTACGAGAAAACGTGGAAATTCCGGGACCTACCCAAAGGAAAAACCGAGGTCCTCCCTGCTGGCAACTATGAGTACCCCTTTGATGTGGTACTTGAGGGATCCATGCCCGAGAGTGTGGAAGGCCTTGCCGAGACATGGGTGATGTACCGCTTCAAGGCCGAGATCGGGCGCAAGTACGTCAAGGACATTGTTGCGCGCAAACCGCTCAGAATCATACGAACCCTGGATCCTAGTGCCCTGGAGCTATCACATGCAATGGTAAGTGGTCATATCGGCCTAACTGGGGGATTTTTACTGACAACCCTCCTAGTCCGTGGACAACATCTGGCCCAACAAGATTGAATACTCCATCAGTACCCCGACGAAAGCCATCGTCTTCGGAACCGCCATCCACGTCGATTTCAAATTGATTCCCCTTCTCAAGGGTCTTCGGATCGGCCAAATTACGTCACAGTTGATCGAAAGCCACGACCTTACCCTCAATCCGGAAGACCCCGATTCCATTCGCAACACATACAAGACCACAAGGACAATCTTGAGCGACGAGCATGAGCTGGACGAGAACAACATTGAGATCATCGATGAAGCGGCGGAAGGATACCAATGCAAGCGTATCCTAGACATGCCGCAGACATTGACCCGCTGTCTGCAGGATACAGACACCAAGGGGATCAAAGTCCGCCACAAGCTGAAGTTCCGTATTCAGCTGCACAACCCCGACGGCCACATCAGCGAGGTGAGTAATAGTAGTACCCTTGGCCATTCTTCTGACAGGCTAACATCTCAATGCAGCTCCGGGCTACGCTTCCAGTTTCGATTTTCATCTCGCCACACCTTGCCATCGACGACAACAACAACCTTCTTGGGCAAACCTCTCAAACTACCCGGATCGCCGTCGATGAGTTTGCGCACCAGGCGCCTCCCCTTTACGGTGAGCACACATTTGATCAGCTGTATAGCGAGCTGGATCCCAGCGGCTATCGCACACCAGGCCCTGCCAGTAGTCCGGGCACGCCATTCACTCCTCTCAGTCGCAACATATCCACAGAGAACCTCGCCTCCATGAACGCCCTGACCAACACCGATATCTCAGCTTCGGCACTGCACCATCGTCTCACAAACCTGAACGCAAGTCCGCTCCACCATCCTATCACTCCTGGTGCAGTCACTCCTGGCGAGGGACTGCACGGATCTCAATCCCCAACAGACGGAATCCCAATTAATCGCCAATTGGGTGTCTCTAATGACTACTTCGGAACTGCTTCCGGATCGAACCATGGCAGTCCAGAACTCTCCCGTCGGCCATCCGACGAAGTGGAGCCCGAAGCCCTTCCCTCGGGCATGGCAACTCCCTTCCACCCCCAGTACGACGAGGTAGAGACTCTCAGTCGGGTTCCCAGCTATTCGACTGCAGTGCGCTGCGCCGTGCGTCCCCGTGACTCTGGTCTCCCCGATTACAATGCCGTGATTGCTAGTAGCCTCCCCACGCTACCAGTCCCGCAGTCTCCCCAACAAGCTCATATCCGCAGCGGCCGTGCAACCGGACCGGGAACTCCCCTAGAGGTGCAGAATCGCTCCGGTTACTTCAATTCTCGCGGCACCAATGCTGACGATGAGGAACGCAGACTTAGAATTGGACAAGCTCGCGCCAGAGCATGAGATGTGGCCACGGAATCCTTCGATCCAGCCATGATCTCCCGCCTTCACTTTCCATCAAAAGTTCTCCTTCTGCATCGGTGCTGGACACTGAGACCCACGCGAAGCGCTCTATTCCTTAACCCTTAACCATTTGCTCTCTTCATCTTCTCCCCCTCCCCATCATGTTCTTTTTCTACAAGCGATCATGGTTCCCAGCATTAGCTCCCCTTTTCAAGCCTCAGTCCCAGTCAATCGGGAACTTCTCATCCAGCATTGTTCTGAATGTTTCTACCGTCCATCAGCGGCAACTTCCCATCTCTTCTTACTTCTCATTGCCTTTTCTTCCAACTTTTATTTTCCTCTGGCGTTCGATCATAGACGGGCAGGAATACTTCCATAGACGGTCACGGGTGTTTTGGTCTTTCTTTCACTTTTTTTTTTACCTTACGAATGAGATCCGATATGAACGAGCTGCATGACATTTAAATATGCCTATCAGCACGAGCCATGCATATGAGCCTTTGACGCATGTACTTAATTACTTTGGTCGACGAGATCAAAGTCTTCAATGCTCAACAGATTTTCCATCTTCACTGATGATATCATGTCCCGATGAGGAAATTAGCCATCGATCTTAGGTCATCAATGAATCTGCGGGCCCAACCCGGCCCAGGTGGCATGACTCTGCTTCTTCCGTCAAAGGTCAAAGGTATTGTTCACTTGAGATAGACATTGGAGGGGCTATTGGTACATGGCTTTTGCCACTTTCGATTATCGACATATTTTATGTTCTTCCTAGGCTCTAGTGAGTAGGTCTGGCCAGTACCCTGTTTTTGATAGTAAGCACAACTTGGCGCCTCGAGTACATATGTATACATTATAGTGTAGAGCCAAGGTATTGCTACATTTACGTTCGGCTTGACACGATAAGGTTGGAAAACTTGAATATTTGGGTGGATATGAAAGCCACAGCATCGAGTACCCAGAGTAAGGTCCCGAGGTCTAACAGGTTACAAGGGGCACAGTGACCTCATTGACATTTGTCGATCGGTTAAGACTGCGCTCTCGCCTTAATTTTTACCTACAACATAAAGATAATATCCAACATAGTGGAAACTGTTGGCCCATCACTTCCGTCGCGTAAGTCTGCTCGTCCGCAATGATCGATCTCTACTGACTAGTCCAGCCATAGACTAGCGCTCCCCCACCATCGGCCGTGGTCTCACACCAGCCACCGATGCTAACATCCCAATAATTCGTTGTTTATGCCACATTATCAGTCGTCAGCTCTGGTTTTGACGCGGATAAGATAACTTCGACTTCGGTTGTTAATTGTCGACGTCTTGAATTAGGCCTTACCCCGCCGTTTCTCCGCGACCATGTCCACTCCAATGAGCCCCGCGGATGTGAAACTGCCTCAGCGGTCTAACACCGTGAGCAGCTCCTTCACTCGTCGTACTTCTCTGAGTGACGATGAGGCTATTCCCGACGGTGATAGCAATGAGGTTTGTATCCGTGGTGTCCTCGAAGAAAAGAAGTATATTGGACTGACGATGTACTTGTTCCCAGACTACTAATCTCCTGCTTGAGCGTCTCCGAGCATGGAAGCATATGTGCGGATATCTCGAGGATTACTTCTCTGCTACCGCCAAAGTGCAGAAGTCCCAGTCCAAGGACTATGAGAAGATCTTGAAGGTCAGTGGTTATTCCTATGGGTCATACCCGGCACTGACAAAGAATGGGAATAGACCGTGAACGAACCCCTCAAGGAGGCCCACCACTTCAGTACCAGCGGAGGCGGCGTGGCTGGTATGTTTGAGAGCATTCGCAGCAACACTCAGGGCATGGTTACCATGTATCTGGAAGGCGAAAAGAACCTTAAGACCGGCGTTCTCCCCACCCTCGAGCGTCTCCACAAAGAGATCAAGAACAAGTCCAAGGAGCTGAGCTCCGGTGCTAGCAAGGGAGCCAAGGCCGTCGAAAAGGCGCGTAACCTGACGCAGAAGCACATCGAGCTCCTAGGTCAGAACGCCGCCTGCTTCGACGCCGCCGCCGGCAGCAAGATCGAGCCGCACAATGACCCTTACCTCCTCAAGCGCGGCATCAACCACCGCCTGAACAACCAAGTAAACGAGGAGAACAACCACCGCCAGGATATCCTCGCCGTGCAGAACTCCTTCCAGCAGTTCGAAGCGCACGTCCTGCAGACCGTGCAAGGCACCATGGAGCAATTCCACCTGCACATGAACGGGCAACTCGAGCGCCAGCGCGCCATGTACGCCGACATCCTCGGCTCCGCGCAGCGCATCCCACCGGACTTTGAATGGATGAACTTCTGCGTGCGCAACGATGCAATCCTGGTCAACCCAGACTCGCCCCCGCGCTCCTTCTCCAGCATCACCTTCCCGAACATGGAGCACCGCTCCACACAGCCGCTCATCGAGGGCTCTCTCGAGCGTCGCTCGCGCGCCCTCATCAAGGGCTACAGCACGGGCTACTACGTCGTCACCCCGGCAGGCTATCTGCACGAGTTCAAGGACAACGACGATTTCCGCCGCGACCCTTCCCCGGAGCTTTCGCTGTACCTGCCAGAATGCATCGTCGGCTCCATTGACGGGGTCAAGTTCAACGTGAAGGGCAAGGACGTTTCCAGCGGCAAAATCGGAAACGCCTTCCACACAAACACCGAGCTCAGCTTCAAGGCCCACACCCCCAACGATGCGGAGAAGTGGTGGACCGTTATCAAGGAGGCTACCCGCAGCCCGGTCGCGGCAGCCCCTGCTGCGGCGGTGTCCACGCTCGCTTCTCCCACGGCGACGTCGGCCGCCCCTACCTCGCCTGCTGGCATTGCTAGCCCCGCCCGCAGCGTGTCCGGCCAGGGCCTGCCGCCCACCTACGCCGAGAAGGAGATGGAGAAGACCGAGGCTGCACAGGCTGCTGCTGCCCCTGCTGCTGCTAGCCCGACTCCGGGACTTAGCCGCACGGCTAGTTCGTCTAGCCACTTCTACACCTCGCCCGGTGGCTCCGCTGTGGAGAAGTCGTGATATGACCTCTTTCTCGTTTAGGCATATATGTTTAAGCTTTTTTGGTTCTGTGGACTTTACCCCCCGTATATACTCAAATAACGCATGTGCATCTCGTCAGTTGATTAGGGTGTAGCGCCCATTTATCCATCCGGAGAGCGAAACATACCTTGGTCGACTGGATATATACCTCTAATGAATTTCTTTCCACGTTAAAATTGCAAGAATCAGATATCACCGCTAGCTGGATCGAAGATCCTTTAACTATCAAATACACAAAGCAGGCAGAGTTGTATCGTCAAATCATATCATAGCCTATGCTGGAAATACACATGGGCATGGGCTAGCTAGATAATCCCAGCAAGCATCGCGGCATACATGTTCATTTCCCAGTATCAGAAATCCTCAGGACTTTCCAAGTCATTCAGCTTCTCCCCGAGGAAACGTCCTAGCGCGGCGCATTTAGACTCCAGCGCAAGCAAGACGGCCGGCGAGGCAGAGAGGTTCAGGCTAGCCAGACGCGCAAGATCAGCGCTGCGGTCAATCTCCAACTGGGGGTCTCGGTGACCGTTGTGAGGCGCGTCCAGAGACGCAGGTACGGCAGCCAGTGCGCGCGATATATCACCCTGTGAGTCCTCAAGCGTGGGAGTTCCATTACCTGCATCAGGTACGGTGTCAATTGCAAGGGAGTCGGCGTTGGTGCCGCCATTCGGCTCCAGTGCGTCTAGTCTGGATGGGCCGACGGCGGCCACAAGGACTTTATCCGCGATCTGGGTTACCACGGCGACGGAGTCGTCAAGTTCGAAGACGATCGAGCCTACATCGCCTAGAGACATCGACTTGGCGGTCACGTAGGATGAAGGATGGCTGGCTGGGTTGACGCCCGTCAGGTTCCCGCTTGAGGCTGACTTGGCGTAGCATGTGTAGGCGGCGCCGTAGGTTGCGCTAAGGTTGCGCAGTTGGCGCGAGGAGAGGGAGGAGCCGTGGGCGAAGACGGCGCCGTTTGTTGCGAAGACACTATAAATAGATACAATCATTAGGTGTATCTTGTGGTGGAAGCACAGCTGGCATACATGATCGTTGTGATCTCTGGCGGGGATAGGTTATCTTCCAAGAGGTCGCTTAGTGCCTCCGCATCCAGCATCTTGATATCGGGGAGACCGGGAATCATGGTGTCGGTGTTGTCCTGGCCTACCGAAGGCGCGTATTCCTCCACCTGGATCGAGGGTTCCTCCTGCAGTGAAACGCAATTTGCTTCCGCAATGCAATCTTTTGGTGGTGTCCACGAGCAGTCTTCCGGAAAAAAGAAGCAGTTGTCGCGATAGTCCTCGTCGTGATGGTCGTATTCGATTGGCTCGTCGGAGTAGTCCAATAGGTTCTGGGCAAACTTTGTCTTGTGACGGGCCCAGTAAGGCAGAAAGTTCGGTTCGAAGGGAGATTGGGAGATAGGTAGGGAAAAAGTCGTCGAGGAGCAATCGGATATTGAATCAGAGAAGGGAACTGGAGAAGGTTCGCATTCAGCCATCTTCACACCCATGGATGCGGACTGGGCACGCAGAGATGACAATGTGGGGTTTGTTTAATTCCCGCAGAAAGGTAAAATTAATAAACAGAGGGCACGAGGGAAGCAGGTAAGCTCTCATGCCATGGGCTTGGCAAGTAGATGAGAGGGAATAAGGGAACACGCAGAGATTCGGATCCGTCGACTCGACGCGCATTGGTCCAAATACAAAGTCACGATGATTCCAATCGCGTCCGGTGGTACACAAGAAAAATCAGAGCAACAGAGCTTTATGAGGCCTGGTATGACCAGCAGGTGTCATGAGGTGTGTGTGAGGCGGCTCCGCAATGGGAGCACCATGATCGGGCAAGTATGAAGGAAGCGTGCACATGAGCAGAGACTTGATTGGGAGAGGGAAAGGGGGGATACATGAAACCAAGAGCTAAGCGCGGCAGTATAAGAAAGTCGGAAATTAAAGAAAAGAGACGGGATGCGACACGAAGCCGGGAATGGAGGCCAATGGTAGGAAAGGGATCAACCGGGAGCGGGGGGGAGAAAGGTCTGAGGATCATGCAAGAGGATGTTCACGAACCTGGTCTATGTGGTAATCAGGGAATTGGAGGGGTTCGAGGGGTTCGATGTTGGAAGTTCGGAGGTTGAGTTGGGAGGAAGGAATTGGAGATCAACTTCCCCGTTGATGTGGAGTTCCCGGACGTTTTAACACCGAGGTATATATCCGGCTGCATACATATGTCGACCTAATAGTGTAGCTATCCTATGTGTCATTTGATTGTTCAACTCGAAATTATATATTATTACATTCCTATATTGCAGTTCATTATTATCCGTACCTAACTTGTTGATTATATATATACTTGTACTCCGTACAGGTTTCAGATTGACCACATACTGGACGCCTAGAAGTATTAAAAGTGATAGACTGACTCACAGAATCTAATTGGTCTCAGTTATATATACAATATGCTCCTAATCCTATAACTTATAAGAGCTACCTAGGTAGAACAGCTATGTGGCACAACGTCATGTGCCCCACACTCTCCTCACGGCTGACAAAAAGCTCCTTTGCCCCTCCATCTTCTCCCCCAATGTTCGCTCGTCTTTCCCCTGGGGTCCTCAGACAAAGATCCTTTGTACCAATCAGTAGGCTCTATTCAGGTCCAGCTCATGGCCCGATTATTGACCAGTTACCAGGATCCCTAGCAACCATGGCTTCCGATCCCTCCACCTATAAGCTCAACCGTTCGTGGACAGTACTTCAACATCTTTCGACACAATCACTAACACAATGGGCGCATTATAGACACGATGATGCGGGTCAAAGATCCGCAGCGATCGGTGGATTTTTACAAGTTCCTTGGCCTGACCTTGGTCAACAAGATTGACATGCCTGAATGGAAGTTCTGCAACTACTTCCTGGCGTATAACGGCCCCGCCTCTCTCCAGGGTGACCGTCATTGGACTGATCGTAATGCCGTTCTGGAATTGACTCACAACTACGGTACCGAGAACGACCCCAACTACAGCGTGGTGAATGGAAACACAGAGCCGCACCGTGGCTTCGGCCACATTGCCATCTCGGTTGACAACATCGAAGCCGCCTGCAAGCGCATTGAAGATGCCGGCTACCCCTTCCAGAAAAAATTGACCGAAGGCCGTATGCGACACATCGCCTTCGCTAAGGATCCCGATGGATACTGGGTTGAGATCATCCGTCGCGCCGATGAGGATCTCAGCACCACCACCGACCCTGGTAGCTATCGACTGAACCACACCATGTTGCGCGTGAAGGATGCCGAAGCCAGCTTGAAGTTCTACCAGGAATCCATGGGCATGACTTTGGTCCGCACCATTGAGAACCCAGAGAACAAATTCAATCTGTATTTCCTGGGGTACCCCGCATCCAATCCCGAGATTAAGGAGGGTAGCAAAAATGGAGTGGCGGAGTGGGAAGGTCTGCTCGAGTTGACCTGGAACTACGGCACCGAGAAGCAGGAAGGCCCTGTCTACCACAACGGCAACACTGAGCCCCAGGGTTTCGGTCATATCTGTAAGTGGATTATCATACAACTTCTAATTGTTTCTACAAGGTTCCTAACTTGACATAGGTATCTCCGTTGACGACCTCCCGGCTGCGTGCGCCCGCTTTGAGTCTCTGAAGGTGAACTTCAAGAAGCGCCTGACTGACGGGCGGATGCACAACATCGCATTTATTCTAGATCCCGATGGATATTGGATTGAGGTGGTGCAGAATGAGGGAATAAAGCGCACTTCAAACTGGTAGAATATAGAAATACAAGCCAATGCATGTATATCAATATCCAGTCCTGCTTATCCTCTACCATTTCATTTCATAGGCCAACGGCGGTGGACCCTCCCCTGCCTTCAGAACATTTTGATCTCGGGGGGCAAGAAATGACGGCTTAATAGCATGATTAGTTCAGAACCTTGGAAGCAAGCCACCCGACCAAACTCACATGAATTTAATTGCACATATTTCAACCAGAACGCCATGAATTAAGTATAGTCATATGTAACCCCCCTTTGGGCCTTGGCTAATGGGATAACCCTACCCTCTTTTGATATACGTACCTGCCTGACTTTTGAATACCGCCTTCCTAATATGGTGCGTCCATTAATTCTGCCACTACTACGGAGTAGGTACGGAGTACGGAGTATTTGAATTCAGTTTATAGTCACCAACTTTTATCATATCAACTACTTCATCGTTAACAATTGCTTCAAAAACTGCTTCAACAACTGCTCTGTCATTATCAAGGGATTAAAACATGTAGGGTCGAATTAGCAATGGAGGGGGGTCATTGTAACAATCCGCTAAACGATATTGTGGGGGGCTTACAGCTGATCGAATGTTAGAATGGGACCGCTAATTTAGCGTGAAGGAAAATATATTAATCCGTGTTAATCCGCGTTTCGACCATCTATCTGCTCAGAGGGGTCTTAGCGAATGTCGAGATCTCTCTTTACACTAGGATGTCTTCATAGCTTATAATAGACGTTTATAAAGACCCCGTGATCATTATTTACAGTATTATCTTTACCACTAAATCCTATCTTCTTCTGTACTAGGGTATTATAACCCCTAAAAGAATCCCGACATTCGCTGATGTCTGACATTCGCCGAGCTCTCGGAATTCGGATTAATACATGTTCCTCTGGGCCAAGAGGCGCTAAAAATTAGCGGTCCCATTCTAACATTCGACCAGCTGTCGGTCGTATTGTGGGGTAAAGTGCTGCTTTGGGTATATCAGTCTGAGTAATCAGTGCCATAGAGGTGAGCCCTCATTGGACCTCCACTTTATCACGTGGGGTATTTGAGCAGCTGACGGACTCTGAAATTTACCCAGTGAGCCTGACTCTGAGCGCCCCCGTAAAAGCGCAGAGGAAATATGTCACGGTGACCTGACCCAGCTAATGGCTTGACAATGAGAATTTCGAGAATTTCGAGTTTTGACGCGGGATGAATTCATGTGATTTCGCCCATTTCGTCTTATTTGCGGGGATACATCGCCACACACCATTGGAGCAAGCCACAACCTCGAGCTTCAGCACTCTTGGAAGAAATCCTCGAGGACGTGGCCTCGAAATTATAAACCATGTCGGCTGAGCCAGAGAAAACGAAAAAGGCACCCCGTAAACATGTCACCACCGCCTGTGTGCCATGCCGGGAAAGTAAAATCAGGGTATGTGCTCTGAGCTTGAGTCAAAAAATCCTAAATGGCTTCAATCATCTAATGTGCCTGCTACCAGTGTGATGGAGCCACTCCTAACTGTCAGAATTGTCAGCGAAAGGGAAAGGAATGCAAATACCAACATGGAGACGACAAGCGCAAGTAAGTACCTTGTTCAATGTGCGGAAGTGCCTAAGCGACGAAGCAGACCTCATAGGCATACATCACTTCATGTTCTTTTGCTAATATGAACTAGAGTATCTCTTCGGGCCTCAACGGAGCTGTTCTCCGCCCGCATTGACCAACTTTGTCATTTTATCCAGGAGCAGGGGCTGGTGCCCCCGCCAATGAATCCAGAGGATGAGGCTGGCATGAACAGGGTTTTAGACACCCTCCAGATCCCGCGCGGATTCCCTCAAGCCTCAGTAGTGGCCGATGAAAAGCGACCGGCAGATGATCCAACGGCCTCTGGGGGCTCAAGCAAATCTCCGTCCCAAGATCCACCTGTCGTAAATCCCAAGGGACAAACCCCGATCACTAATTTGGTTGCTTCCGGCGTGTCCCCGGCGCAAGATACTGTGTCTAATGGAAAGGCGCCGTCGCCCGAGGGCTGGAATCCCTTTGGAATGGTACCGGGTGCTTCGGACAATCAAAACTTTGTCCATTGGGGCTTTACTTTGCCAACAGCCGAAAGTTTGGACACTATTTACGCCAATCTCAACGGCGGGCCGAGAGCCTCTGCAATGCCTAGAATCCCCGTCAACGCAGAAATGAGTCCGGATAGCTACCAGCTTGGCATGGACATGGCCCAGCAGCCGGGTGTTCTGCTAAGCCAGCTACCCCATGACGGAGAAAATGATTCGGATAGCGGCGAAGAGGACGAAGCTGAAAATGACGTTATTGAGCAATTGTCGCACCGAATTGGCACTTTGAAAATTGCAGGTGATGGCCATCTGCGTTTCTACGGTGCCACGTCCAACCTCAATCTGGTGGATGTATCTGCGACACAGCAGCGGCAGCGGCCAGACGCACGGACTGTGCGCCACGATGGTCAGGATATTCTAAATCACCTCCGGGTGGGTCAACCTGTGGACCAAGCCCTGGAAGATCATCTGGTGGAGCTATATTTCACCTGGCAAAACCCTAGTACATACATTGTCGACAAAGAGATGTTCATGACGGCACGAACGAAATGGCGCAATGAACTCGATGATACTCCATTCTACTCGGAGGTTCTAACTAATGCAATGTGAGTTCACTTCATTTTCCGGTGCTGAAGCAATTTGCTGACTTGTTTCAGGTGCGCGATCGGGAGTGCCTTCGAGGCACGCTATCACCCCACATTCATTACTTTCCCCAAGTCTCTCTCTGAATTCTTCGCAGACCGTGCTAAGGCCCTTCTGGAAATTGAACTCGACTCTCCTTGTGTTGCTACTGTCCAGGCCCTTGTCATTATGAGCTGCCATGAAGGCGCATCAAATCGTGATGCTCGAGGTTGGTTGTATAGTGGTAAGCATATATCTTGAAGATGGGAGACAATCAACGTTCATTGGCTAATTGCTTTACAGGGATGTCTATGCGACTTGCTTTCGATCTTGGTTTACACCTAGATATGACGACATACGTGAACAAGGGCGAAATCACCCAGCAGGAGGCTGATGTGCGCCGTGCAACCTTTTGGGGAAGCTATGTAGCAGACCAGTAAGTTTTCGTGGTTTATACCGTCAATATCTCTAACAGTAACTAGTTTCTGGGGCTTCTACTTAGGCCGCCCGTTCCGCATGAACGCCGGAGACATAGGTGTTTCAAAACCTGGATCTGCTCTTTATCCTGAAAAGGAACAAAACTGGCATCCATACGGCCATCAAGCTGCTCATGGGCTATCTCAGAACGGTCTGAGGAACCCAATGGAGCTAATATGCAGGCAATTTGTCGTTCTATGGGAGATGATATCCCCAGTTGGTCATATTTTGTATGTGACTTATGCACATTATCCAGCACAGTGCTAACAAGCCTTTAGGTATGGATGTTCGGACATCTCTCGGCACGACCTGCAAAGAATCTGCTATCAAGTGACGGAAGATTTGTTTGCCTGGAAAGCAAATCTTCCTTCTAGCCTTCAGATTGATCTGGACGATGATACATCGCCAATATTGCCTCATTTAATGATGCTCCAGTCAGTTTGTTCCAATATAATAGACCCCCAGAATCATACTAACAGTCTCTTGCAGCATGCAATACCACCAGATCATCATTTTCTTCCACCGCCCATGGCTTTCCAAAAGCTATATCCAGCCCCGCAGCCCTCGTCAAGGCCCGGGGTATCATCATGCGCGGCGCATGTGCGTGGAGTCAGCCACCGCCATCGCACGACTCCTCCAACTCTTCGAGAAACACTACACCTTCCGCCGCATGAACAACCAAGTTGTAGCGATAATATTCAGCGCAGCGCTCATGCTTCTCTTCGTAACAGTATCCAGTTCTCCAATGAGTCCAGGCAAACAAAGTGACAGCCCGACATACCCTCGCAGTCCGGAAATGGTAGCATATCTCAATTTGTGCTTCCGGGCTCTCGATGAACTAGGCCAATCATTCGACAATGCCAAGCGCACCCGCGACTACCTTGTTACCCTCCAGCGACGTTGGCAAGCAAACATGCGCCGATCCGGCTCTGCGGCGAAACGCCAAAACAGCAGTGCTAATCTGGCGTCGCTGGGCTCCCAGAAGCCGTCTACACTGCACAATAGGGCTGCCAATGCTCAAGGAATAGATGGCTCACGGAAGAAATCCCGTTTATCTGTTTCCGGGGTCCCTCCCAATATGCAGTCAATAGCACCTGTGGCGACCAACCAATACTCCCATCTTTCACAGCAAACCATGCCTCCTCACCACCAATATCATCAGCAAAGCTCTTATCAACAACAAGCCCCATTTCCCGTCCCCGTTCCCGTTCCTGATTCCCAGCTAGGCGATCTAGACTGGATTCCCAACTCAGACATGCGTCTTTTGTCCGAGACTCAAACTGGCAACACACTGAATGGAATGGGCCAGGTTCCTTCTCCTTCCTTCGCCGAGGACCCCAGCATGCTCTCAGAAATCGCGGACATTGATGGATGGTGGACATCGGAAAACTACACGAGAACCTCAATGCCACCATGAAATCATTGTTGGATGAATAATTACACCATTGCAGAGACTCAATCCTTCGAGTCTGTCAAATTTGTGTTGCCTGGAAGATAGAACGGACATCCTATGATCGAATGATATACACCACTCCAGGCATGGAGGGCGTTCACATAAATGTATTATTATTTCCATCTTTCAAAACTGGGGCCTTTATGAATTCTTTGCATGCGCAATTTCACATGTAAATTCGATGCTGTATGCATTGCAACCGATTTTAATCTATATCCTCCATTGTTCTTTGGAACACATTCTTGAACCAGTCGGCCACTTCCTCTCCCGCATTATTATCAGTATTCCGAATCTGAGATAGAATAACCCTCCGCTCCCCAACCCCCTTTTCCCGACCCCAAAAGCAGGCCCGCCGCATAGTAGAGACCATCTCATCAGCCTGTCGAGCAAGAACCGTAGACCCATGACCACCATCTCTAGGCTTCTTCTTCTTCTTCTTCGGAGAGAGAGAACCAGAAGCCAATTCAGCACCATCCTCTCTCGAGAACACCCGGACCCAAGGCAAAGCCATTTCCAATCGCCCAATGCCATCCCCAGGCCCAGACCACGTATCCCCACTGAGCCCATAATCCAGACCATACGGCGGCCAACGCGAAAGAGCCTTCCGGCGCCGCGTAACAGTAGCACCAATACTATCGGTATCGTCGGAATCCATATCGGGACACTCCCAGGTCGACCCGTCCAATGTTGCGTATTGCTCGACGGCTGTCGTGCCCCGCGTCTCCTTCAGTACGGGGACGGGATACTCCGGCCCCGTAAGATACTGCGGGAATGTGGGCGGCACATCCCGGCCCGCAGAGCGGAGGAAGAGGATTGGCGAGGCGAAGGAGTCGAAGCAGCGCTCCGGGGTTGAGAAGAATTTCGAGCGGGCTTGGAGGAGGGGCACTAGGTCTGGCGGTGCTGTGGTCTTTTTCCTTGGCTGGCGCTTTTGTGTAGATGCTACTTTTGAATTTGGAGTGGTATCATCACCTGCTCGTGTTTTGGGGTTTGTGATAGTGCTCTCGCGCGTGCAGTACTCATCCAAACCGGGCCAGTCGCAAATGGGTTCTACGGCGGCGATGGCTCGGATGGAGCGCGCTTCGGTCAGACCCAGCATGAGAGCTAGAGAGCCTCCGATGTGTGTGCCGAAGATGGCTAGTTGCGCTGGGCGGAGGTGAGTTTGGATCCAGTCGAATCCGGCCAGTGTATCGTGGACTGGGGTTGGATATTTGTAAGAGGTGAGTTCGGAGTTGCTTGATCCCAGGGTTTGGTCAGGGGCTTCGGATAGCTCTTGCGAGATAGAGCTTTCAACTGAAGATGAGGGAATATATGTTGGTATCTCGCCGAGACGGTAGTTGACTGTTACTACCACTGCAGACGCAGTGGATGCTAGGACATGCTGGTGTGAGGCCAAGGAGTTGGTATAGCCAGTCCTTTGGTGATAAAATTCAATGTTTTCATGATTTTGAGGTGCGCTCGTTGCATTTCCCAGCAACAAAGGTCCAGGGGGAAGGTAGAGGATTACATTTGGGCCTTCTGGAGACAACCCCTGGTGGGCGCTCGGTCGCGTAATTCTGGGGATGTAGTTAGCATGTATCACTAGGGCTTATAGAAAAATGTATCTTGTACTTTAGAGAGATAGCCCCATTGTTTCCAAGAGGAAGGGAAATTGTTTCATCGGTGCAGTCAGATGAAACGGTCGAATATCGCGAGCTTCGGAAACACGCGACGGAAATTCGGGTAGCTCCTCTGCTGCGGCGCAGTAAAAGGGCTATACCACGGGACGAGTAGATAATACCTCGCATAGCACTATTACAGCATGCACTTGATGTTTGATAAAACTTGTCAAGGAGGGTTGTTGGCCATGCTATCCGAAACCAATTGATGCCTGAATAATATGGCCATCTCTGTGCTATCAAATTGCTTCGACGACCGTATGTCTCATCTTGATATAATTCATTACAATCTCAGTGTTATAGCATTCTATTCAGGACTAAGCTAATCATACACAAACGCCAAATTTTCATCGATCTACAATTTAAAATGAAACAAAAATACCGTATGCGCCATGCTCTAAATAAATAGATGACTGATCCAAGAGTCCCTCCAGGAATATGAATTTTGCCGAGAGGCAGTCGCTGACGTCGCCGACGTCGCCGACACCGCAGGGTCGTCTCGGTCGAGAGGAGCTTCAGTATCATCCTCTAGCACAGGACGCACAACCTGCAGACTCAGCATCGGATCCTTGGAGTAAACCCGCAGTCCGACCACACAGACGGCATTCCACGGGTCAACAGAAGGCTCCTCATGGCCCACCGATGGAGGGTGGTTCTTCACACCCGCTTCGTCAGGAGGCATGTCGAGATCGCTGTCAAATTCGAACCCTTCTAGTAATTCAAGATCACCCTGATCAAGAGCCCCTGTAGCAAAACGAGCATCTAAACTGGCCCGCGGAGAGTCGGCTCTACGTCGCCAATCATTGTTTGCGTGTCTTGCGTGCAGGCCCTGGCCGCCGTTGATGTAGATGCTCGGGATAGAACCGTTGACGCGGCGGTCACTGTTTTCACTTGAGATGCTTGAAACGTCGATGGCAGAATCTTCTATTGGTTTCTCTACCAGAATTTGGTTGGGAACATAATCGCGTTCGAAGTTGTGATCGTAGGAGCTGCCGCTGGGGATGCGCCCGCACCTTGCTCGCATCCGCTCTTGTCGGGCGTTTAGCTTTTGATTTCGAATCCAGTCCTTCTGCATCTTTTCCTTAATCTCGTCTCGAAGCTTTCTCCGCTCAGCTGCTTTGAATCGCTGCTGCTCCCGCTTTTCTTGGTGTGTTTCGCCCACCAGTCCCTTTGCATGCGCGAGGTCGTAGGAAAGGCCGACTTGCACTAGTTTCTCTCTTCTCGTCGAGGCAACCTGACGGACAATTTCTTCGGTCGAGTCTGCGTCTTCGTGGCGAAAAGCTGTGATCTTCATCAGGACCTGATAGTGACCGGGGTCAAGGTCAATCTCGGCGTTCACAGATCGGCCCATAAAGTGGCTGCTATGGCTGCGCACGAGATAATCTTGTTCGCCTTCCTTCTGCAAGCGGAACTTGAGCACGAAGCTGTACTTGCCGGCTAGTCCTTTGAAATAGCGCGTATCAAGCTGAATCTGTCAGCCACTACACAGGAGCTGGGGTAAATGGCGCATAACGAACCTGGGATAGGACAATGACCACCGGTCCAGTCTTAGTCACATCCATCATGAATTTAGTGCTGTGATAATCCGCGGACCAGGGAACATTCAAGGTAGTCCATTGCTGGGTAATGGTCCATTCAGCTCCGAAGAGGCGTGTCCGATCAAAGTGCTGGTATTTCCTGAGGAGATCTTTATAAGAGATCCAGAAGAACTGGGCCAGGTCAGCGTATTGAGTGAAAGTGCGATCGACGAACACCTACACCATCGTTGCCAAATTTATGGCCAAGGATTTTCATCCACTCGGGCGTCCATTCTTTAGATCCATCACCCCATGCACCGTGCCATTCTTTGCGACCCCATGGGTTCCTAGGTGCTATGAGCCTTTTGGTCATTTCCCTTTTGACATTCATGCACATACCTCAGCCGCAGTAACCGGTGGCCGTCAATCTCCCGGGCTTCCATGATGGAATATGAGTGACCCTCCGCGATACCCTTTCGATCCCTTGGTGGACCCCGGTAATTAGGATCTAACCAGTTTGAAAACAGGCCTGTCCCGCAACCAAACAGGAATTCCGTGTTGACCTTCATAATTTCCTCGGCCCAAAAGCGGTCCTTGTTCAGGATATTGCTAGATAAGACCTCAGACGTAACGCCTCCGGTGAGATCCTCGATAGCCTCACCAACAAATCCACCCTCGATCGCGGAGTAGTCTCCATGGGCCTTTGCGAAGGCTTTTTCTAGAAGAGGTAGCCAGGTCTCATTGTCGTCGACGCACTGTGCGAAGTACAGGGCCCGCGAGCCTGTCTGCCAGACTCGCCGGTACTCTTCCTCCGTATCAATCCGAGTTATGTCGTCCCAGATGGGTCGCTCCTCCACAGACTCATCATAGTCAGCAGCGCAAAGATATAGTTTGTCATCTATAATGCACTGCTGCCACTCGCCGTCTGATGATTGAAGTCAGCATGGTTCCCAGTCTGATTGGGCTCGGAGCACACGCTTACCTCGATGGAAAACAAATCCATAAATCCCAACCTCTTGATCGCGAGCAACACAAATCTTCTCGATGAGCTCCTCTTTGTTGCCCATGGTACAAAGCGCAGCCATGAGCCAGCAATCCCCATCATATCCCTGCCGCACATCTGACGCGGTAGGTCCGTTAACAAAGAACCGCGGATTTTCAAAAATTTCCTATATGAAAGTCTTCAGCAATCTGCAATCTGAACACTCCATGGCATATCATTTCGAACTAACAGTCACTCTTTTCACGCCCCGGGGTCTCATCTGCATATTCGGTTTATCCAATCCATCGAGATAGTGTCTCCGGCCAGACTTCAGGTCTAGCTCGATATCAAAGTGTGGGTCCGAATATCTCTGATTCATGCGCTCGCATTCCTTGACAATACGGTCGACGGATTTTTGACATTCCTGGCGTGCCTGCTCGTACGACTTGACAGCCTCGTGGCCCTGAATACGGCCGCTGGGAACATGCTTGGCCCGTGTCCGTGCATACGGATTGTCCGGCAGCACCGTATATACTTTGCCCGGGTACTTGGTGTTGAATTGTTCCCAGAATTGCTTCATGGATTCCTGGGGCGGTTGACAGCGTGTGCGGGGCGGTCGACTGTTTGAGCGCGAGGAGCTTGGTCCTGCTATGGCATAGCCCATTTCGTCGTCGAATTCCATGTCCTGGTGTCTCTGGGTTGTTCTTCGCTTGGTTGAAGTTTTTCGGTTTTTTGGGGGGGGGAAGAAGCACAGAGGTGGTAATTCTCAGGCGGCTATTTCTCTCATATCGCACTAATCACCCGCAATGACGATCAAGATGAAAATAGAAACACGGATTCTGTTCTTGTTCTAAGCGCTGGGATGACATTCCCCGATTTTCCCCTCACGCGGCCACTCCGAACCGAGAACATCACCTCAGCCTTCATTCCCTCGTATTGATCAGCTTATTAGGCCTGATCTTCGTAAAAGCGTTCATTATAGGCTGAATGTGCATTGTATCAGCGGACGAACGAGCGAATCTGACAGCAAAGGGTGCTTTCGGCCCCCACCTCGATTCTCAGGCCCCCTCTTATAACGGCCACAGAAGAAATAATGAACTGGACCAGACTTGGTGATATTCAGCGAGTAGAGAAGTGAGAAATCAAGGAATAGAGGAATAGAGGAACTAAACCCGGAAAAGATGCTTAGCATGTCTCATTCCAAAGTTTCGTGGGGCAATTTTCAGCTGACACAGATGACTCTTGACCTAACCCGAGGCTGAAGAAGCTGAATACAATGGTACCGTCACATCATTTTTCATATCTGATTACAGGGTAGAAAGGGTATGTACGCCTGTTATTCAAGACTAAAACACTTCCTATGCAGTAAGCCCGCCCTATCACTCCCCATTGAACGCCGAAAGAGGAGAAAGAAACCATGCCCCGAGAACATTTCCCACAGTGAATAAGATACACAGAAAATGTGTGTAATCGTCACACTAGTGGAAGCCGTTACTTGGACCACGTCCAGAGTAGTATGCGGTGCCGTTACGGAAGTACGGGTGTAAGCAGGCCTGCTTGGCCGATAGTCGGTGTGCAGGGTCAAACTCGAGCAGAGATTCCAAGAGCTGACATCCAGCCTCTTCCAGCCCGGGAACAATCTCAACGTCAGGGCGCTTCCACTTGGGGAATGTGGATTTATAATCGGGGAACGAGGTCACGCCGGGCCAGATGTCTTCACCGGGCGTACCAAGGATGCTGCAATTCGTTAATACGGTTGAACACAGAATAACAGAACAATGCTTACCGGAAAATCTTGAAGATCTCGTCAATTTCAGAGTCACCGGGGAAGAGAGGCTTGCGTGTACACATCTCGGCGAAAATGGCGCCCACCGACCACATATCAACACCCGTGGAGTATTGACGTCCACCCAGCAGAATCTCCGGAGAACGGTACCACAATGTGACAACCTGTCGATTGCGTTAGTAAACGAGCAATTCCATTAATGTAACTGAAAATTCAATGCATACCTCGTGAGTGTAAGTGCGAAGGGGAACACCAAACGCTCTGGCAAGACCGAAATCGGCCAACTTCAGATTGCCTTCACGGTTAATCAACAAGTTCTGGGGTTTCAAGTCACGGTGCAGAATTCGGTGGCTATGGCAGTATCGAATGCCCTCAACAAGCTGGGCCATGAATTTCTTGACCATTGCGTCGCCCAGGCCTGGGGTTACACCCCCCTTGAATCCATCAGGCAAAGGCTTCCCTCGCCCACCGTCACTGACAGGCAGAGCCTCCATGTATTTCTTAAGGTCGCAGTCGAGGAATTCGAAGACAAGGTAGAGCTTATGGCCATCGGCATGGACAATATTCAGCAGCTGGACGATGTTGGGGTCCTGCATCTCCTTGAGGAGGGAAATCTCGCGGATTGCAGTGCTGGGGACGCCCTCATCTTCGGCTTCGAGTCGAATCTTCTTCAGGGCAACGATACGGTTGGGGTGATTGAGTTCACGGGCCTTGTAGACCACACCGTAAGTGCCTGCAGACCATTGACGCGTGAGTTGGGCTGTAGGTAACAAGGTCGGGTCGGAAGTACATACCTTCGCCAATCTTCTCAATTTTCTGATAATTATCCATGGTGCCCGACATTCGATCCTTCGCTACTGTTAATGAGATTAACAATTGGAAAACAGAAAGACCAGAATGGGGATTTGACACAAATTGGAGGGATGTTGCCAAGAAGAATTTGTAGGGGAAGCAAGGAGAGGAGGTAGCTACTACTTACTCCGAGGATGTTGGTATCTGAGAACAGCTGGAGCAGCACGCTCTTCAAATTCCACCTGGAGATCGAAAAAAGTAATTTGTTGACGAGATGATTGACAAAAGACAGTATTTCAATGGTGGGGAGAGAAAGACACAAAACAAACAACCCCCGCGCCCATCATAGGGCGGTGAAACGCGTACCTTTTCCTTCGTTGTTTAACTTTCTCTTTGACTTCATATCTTCGCAATGGCCCAAATTAAAGGTCTTAGTGCTTATGATCGCCCTCCTGATCCAGTGAGACTTTGCTACAAGAAATATACTAAAATTGCCTTGTCCGAGGTTGACAATGATCCGGGGATCCTCGACCTACAACGGATCGATTCCGACCAATTGCCCGACGGAGTGACGATCGCGCAGTATATGTGCAGCCAGGATTTGCGATTGGCATTTGATGATTTCATTCGTGGAAGCCATGCTGAAACAGAAGAGGATACTTCTTTGACTGAGGATATTCCAGTATACGCCCATAAATTGATTTCCGGTTAGCATTGTATCGCCTCGATTTAAAACTGACCTAGCAGGAAAAAGAGCAATGCCTGACCTCCTGATAGGCCTCCTGATGATTCCCGCCATGTTCCCTCCTACTATCCAGATCGAACTGCTCTCTCGCCTATTCCACCGAGACTTATCCAACCCCGAGCATCAGACAAACCTACACCTGCACTACGATGTCACGTACCCCGAAAAGTCAGAGGACACCCAGATGCCCAAGTCCTTCTTCGCAGACGATCCCACTCGGACTTTCCAACCCAAAGATCCTCAGCTTCATAAGCCCTTGTCGGTTCAAAGTTTCTTAGAGAAAAAGCTGCGCTGGGTAACATTAGGTGGACAATACGACTGGACCGCCAAATTATACCCATCCGGAACCCCGCCGGAGTTTCCGCCGGACGTTGCAAAGGTGCTACGTGCGGCCTTCCCAGAAACATCGGCCCAGGCTGCCATTTTGAACCTCTACTCCCCCGGAGATACGCTGAGCGTGCACCGGGACGTGAGCGAGGAGTGTGACGTAGGCTTGATCAGCGTGAGTTTCGGATGCGATGGGTTGTTCTTGGCTAGCCATGATGACGGGAATGGGTGTGAGGTTATTCGGCTTCGCTCAGGCGATGCTGTGTACATGAACGGTAAATCGCGGTTCGCCTGGCACGGAGTCCCGAAGATTCTGCCATCGACCTGTCCGAAATGGCTAGCCGACTGGCCATCCTTTGGAGAGTCTGTTCCGGGAATGCCGCCTACCCCATACGAGATGTGGAAGGGCTGGATGTCTAGCAAACGAATCAACCTGAACGTTCGACAAATGACGACCACTCAGGCTTCCGAAGAGAGAGCAGATCACGTTTGAAAGTGGGAAATTCAGATGTCAGTAATGTCAGATTCTTTCCTTGGTCCAAACATGGACAATATTCTATCTTAACCTACTCATGTACAGAGACAGTCATGCTGTTCCAATGAGTCTGGTCAAACATCGCAATCCAATGTCCGAAAGCGTTGCTACCATTCACAAGACACTTTGTCTCTCCGCTGGAGAGCAATTCCACAAGGTTTATACCTGCGGGATAACAAGCACCCACCCCTTTAGACGAATCAATTGCACTCAAATAGACCTTTTCGGCTAGAAACCAGATCGGCTCGCTCCGGAAGAGTGCCTTACTAAGCATATCAAACTTCCAAGGTTCGCAATTGCTCGAGGTTGCTCGATATGCGGAAGAGACCTCGGGAGACCATACTGTATCTGTAGTGCTTTATCATGTCAGTAACAGAGAACCTGGGCATCAATTACGATCAAGATGAAGCATTGGGCTTTCGTATGAATGTTGACGGGAAATGTTATTCTCTATTAATACAGAGCAGAGGGAGCAGAGCAAGCCACCTACTGTTCCAAGCGAATGCAGAGTACAAAGAATAACCCCCAGGCGCCTTGTCCGATGCTTTTCTACAAATATTATATTCCACGACCAGTCAGTTCCTGGATGACGATGACGGAGGCGTCTGTCCAGAGGGTGCAGCAAGATTGGATAAATGAGGCGTGGAAGATCCCCAAGTTTTACCACCTGCAGAAGGCGGAGCATGACCAGACTCGGACGAAGGACCAGACGGGTCTTCCGAGCCATTCATGAGGCGCTGTCGCTTCGCCGCAGGCAGCCCACCTACCTGGGGCATGCCGCTAGGTAGAGCGCCGTTAGACGGGCTGCGAGGATCTGTAAAAGAGTGGGGTGAAGCGTAGTGGGTAGATGAAGCAGGGGTGGAGGCACCCGCGACGTCTGGGCTCACAGCTGTGGCAGATTGCAAGGGGCGCAAGCGATTCGGATGAGAGGTGGTGTCCTCGCCTGGGCGTGGAGGCCGGACATCAGGGCTTTTCTGAGACTGACTTTGGTCTGGCTCCCCTAGCTGACTAGGGTTTCCGTAACCAACCCCAATCCGGCCCATGCCCTTATCGTGCATAACAACACGTCTCCATTTGGCAACCACGCTGTCGTAGTCCCATCGTGTCGAATCGGGACTGATGTGGCTCTCTTTTGCGTCTAATTCCCGTGCTACCTCTCGTGGTAGGGGGGAGCGTATCTGGGGGGAACAGTGCGAACTCACGAGGCCACTGGCATGATCCGAGGCGCTCGACCTGCGCACGCAGCTGATTTGCTTCCTGTTGCACTCGAGCGAGTTGCTCGTCCGAGGACTTGCGCTTCTCTGCCTCCCGTGCAAATGCACGCGTGATCTCCAATTGCCACGCATCGCGCCGGGTCTCGTGGGACAGGGAACTCCAATGATTGAAGGCCAATTCTAAGTGTCGGAAACTGATATCCTCGTGCTGTTGTGCACTCCGGTATATCATGTTCGGATCCACCCCGCTATTCCCATGTCTTGTGTAAGGCGCAGAAGTGGAGGAGTCTGCTGCGAGTTGGTCGATCTGCCATTGTGCAACCTTGGAACGAAGGGCTTGGCGGATTATATCGAGGTGCTCGGCTCCGGGGGGCTGAAGGGGAAACGAGGTAGAGGAGGAAAACGGATGCGTCGCAAACAGGCTTGGTGGGGGAGGGAGCAGCTGGAGACACATGGAGGGAAAAGTCTGAGCTTGAATGTCGAAGTCGAACGGAGATAGCCGGGGCCGGATACGAGAGCTAATGTTTCGTGAGCTTGGGGGTTAGATATAAAACGATGGAAATGAGTCGACATACGTCGCAGCTTTGATATTATCAAGCACCTCGCGCAGTGCGAGCTCCAGCGCCCGCATCGTATCCGGGTTGCTGGAGCTAGCACCTCTACTCGCATAGTCCGGAAGCTGTAACGACCCTGTGTGAGACTGCGATGGCGTAATTCGAGGCCCATCCGGTACGCGACTAGGGTTGGGGATATCGTTGATCACCCCCGTCGCATGCCAGGTAGGTGTGTTGAACATCATGCGCACCGGAGCTTCGCGCGACTTCGATCCCGAGTCCCCGGCTGTAAATGGCTCTGAGGTTCCCTTTTTCTGGCTTCGTTCAGGGCTGCCCTCGTTCCTCCCTGTTGATGTTCGTGCCTGGCGCCGGGTGATTCCGCTGCGAATTCGTCTGATCTCTTCGACGTCGTGGATTCCGTCAGGTTTCTTCTTAAAAGGAATTGGTCGAGGTGTCGACCTAATGATGAAGAGGTAAATGCTTGTTGGCAGTACTGGCATTTGCGATCCTTTGCAGCAAGACTGGCCTTCGACTCGTCACCGGCGGTCGAGCCGTCGGGGGTTTCTCTGGAGGGTTCTATTTCTTCCTTCATGGTCGGGGACGTAGAAAGATGAGATGATTGAAATAGATAGAAAGCTCTTCAGCTTAGAATGTCATGACATATGATATAGTGCGGCCAGAAGCAGCAAGTTGGTGTAGGGAAAATTCAACGTGGATGAGAGGGAGGTGAGAAAGATGAACAGGAAAATGCCAAGCTTTTGGGCGCGGAGCTGCGCGAGCAATTTTTGTGGGCCAAGGCACATGGAGATTTATCTATGTCGGACTTATTGATCTACTGATGAATTGCATGTATATATCGTGTGAAACCACTTCAATGCTACCTATGCAAGTATTGAGATAGTCTCTGCAATGTAACTAGGGCCCTCGACCAATAGATCAAGCAGAATCAATGTGACTGCCTGGGTGCATATTGTACTTCGAACAAATCAGAATCAAGAACTGCAATTGTTATATATTTGTCCTGACCATAGAATCTTCCCTCTACCTTATCAAGACTCGGACATCATACTGAATCAATGACACACGCGGATGGGGGGAAGTACAACACTAAGCCTGGAGAGTCTAGCACACGACGCACTCATGCGCAGCATGGAAGACACGGTGTAACCATGTTCAAGGACGAGCTTTGCTCTTTCTCGTCTTACGCGCACTGAGCCAGCGTTTCACGTCGCTAATACCATGCAAATACAACCAGGAGAAGATGAAAACAACAGCAAAGTTGAAGATAATGAATCCCCAGATGATCCCCTAATGGATGTTAGATTAATCTGGCACTCTCAAGGTTAGTTAAAGGGGTATAGATCACGATACTCACATAATCTCTCCACTTGTGCGAGTAAAAAATATTGAGGCTACTAGCCTGAAAAATGTAACAAAGTTCTAGTTAGCTATGCTCCAAGTCTGCTGGTCAAGACATTCAAATGCGAAACTTACAAATTCATCACCGACTGAGTATTGACAGAATGAGCACATTCCATTCCCAATGTCTCGGACATATCCACCGGATTTTTCGGCATAAGACCCAGCATATTCTTGGCAGTTCATGCCAGGTGGAGTGCTAAAGCGGGATTCTTCGCGCTCAATACAGCGCACGGGGACATTATGGGTGATGGCTCCAACAAATCCCTCAAGCAGATAGTGGAAAGGCGTAAGCCAGTACATCCACGCTTGCCAAAAATGCGGTATTGCGACGTAAGGGACGACAACGCCGCAGAAGGAAGCAACAAAGGTAAAGAAAGTTGGCACGAGCAAACTTGCAAATAGCACATTTGGTGCAATTGCAGCTATGAATTGACCAAGGCCGATATAATATAGTTCAAAAAGCATCATCGACATCCAAACGTAGCCGGAGGTAAACGAGTCGCGTGGGAACCAAGTTCCCCAGTACCTTTTATATTTCTGTCAGAGGGAAGAGATGGAATTCCTTCTCAATAGACACTTACCAGCAGTTGAAGTAAATGGACCCGGCAACAACCGAGTATGGCAGTTCTGGGATGATTGTGCTCGTCACAAAGGCAGCCCAAGAGTAGATCTTTGAGTTAGCCTCACGAGATTCATAAAGGCCTCGAAAATGAATATATCGTGGTTGGAGTTGCTGTATCAGCGGTGGGGCTATCGTCAAGGTCATGAAAACAGAGAAGAGTCGTGATTGCATGTCGATAAAGCTATTTCCCAAATGCCAGAATGTGAAGGTGTTGAAAAGGCCGGTAAAGATGTGGAGCATGAATTTACCCTAGTTGGCAATTAGGCAAGTCATTCGGGCTTGTTTTTTGAAACCTAGTGACTTACAAGGATGTAGTCTGGGATCCTCCAGTAAGCCACGAATGCGCGCTTAGTGACTGCGACTGTTTGAACATAGAGAGGCATTGCGTACTCGCGATCGTCGTCAACCTTCTGGTCATTTTGAGCGTTGCGACGAGAGGCGATGATACCTTCAAGATCCCCAGAAAGCTGCTTGGATTCTGGCGAGTTGGCCCATACATTGCCCCAGTCCTGTCCCTTATAATCGGGATTTCCGGCTCCAATGACTTCCAACATATACTAGATCGAATATCAGTGGGAACCAATACATCCAGCTTTATAATACACACCTCCGCCGGATTTTCATGTGGTGAGCAATTCCTCCCGCCGTTTCGTTCAAAGTAATCAATCAGCGTCTTGGAATCGTTTCCAAGGGGCCCATTATAAACAACAATTCCACCGCTTTTCAGTAGCAAGAGCTCATCGAAGTTCTCGAATAAGACAGCAGAAGGTTGATGGATTGTACAGAGAACGGCCTGGCCGGCATCTGCGAGTCGGCGAAGGAAGCGTACAATGTTGAATGCGGCCAGAGAATCGAGGCCTGACGTGGGTTCATCCAGAAATAGCAAAAGCTCCGGTTTACTTGCTAGTTCAACTGCAATGGTGAGTCGTTTGCGCTGCTCTTGGTTGAGGCCTGAGCCCATGGATCCAACAATTGCACCGGCGATGGATCGCATTTCTAGTAAGTCAATGATTGTCTCACAATAATCATACTTTTCTTTTAATGAGACTTCTTTCGGTTGCCGCAACAGAGCAGAGAACCGAAGAGACTCCCGCACAGTAGCGGTGGGTTCGTGAATGTCCATCTGCTCGGCGAATCCCGTCGCTCTCTGGAAGCTCCTTGGGAGAGGCCTGAAAATATTAGAATTCATGCTTAATGAAACACTCAAATATTTCCTACCTCCCATCAACTAAGAAGTTGCCAGTGACCACGCCAAAGTTGATTCGCTGTGCTAGCGCATTGAGCAAGGTGGTTTTGCTAGTCAGACATTAGCATCAAGAATGAAGTCAACCTTGTTTCGTGCTTACCCCGAGCCAGAAGCACCCATCAATGCAGTCAGCCGACCAGGCTTGACATACCCTTTAACATTTTGCAATAGTTGTCTCTGTCCACCCTTGTATGGAATGGTGTAGTTAACGTCTTGCCATGTAAAGATTGCAGTGTTTTTAGCAACATCCCGGACTTTCTCATTAGGTATACTCGTGTCCCCGTTGTTTTCGTTGGATACTGCGCCATCCGCCTCTGTGGATTCCTCATCTTTTCGGGGGGCGGATTGCTTGATGACATCTTGAACTGCTTGGGGGGCTTCGCTTCTTTTGAACACCGTGACCGAGCTGCCGCCCTTATTGGGTCTCTGTAATTCCATTCCCAACATTGTCAAGCAGACGAAAAAGATGAGCCATCCTGTAATGATGCCGAAATTCCGCCACAGGTGAGCTCTGGTGTAAGTGTACGCCGTTTGGATATACTTGGGACCATGAACAATCAACTGGTCTATATCACTGCCTTGTATTGCACATGACTGGTGACCAGGCACAGCATTTGGCCCATCAGGCACAATGTAGGGCGGTTCACATTTAATCTGGAGATTGTGGAACTCATTGGCCATCAATGACTCAAATGCGTATTGGACAGGGTTGATCCAAATGAGCCACTTTAACCATGGGTGCATTTTCCACGGGGGGATGAGATAGCCTGAATTATATTGGCCATTAAATTCGAATATTAGGTTCCATTGTACTGGGCTCACCTGTGTACACAACCAATGCCTGTATGGCGACACCAGTGAGGCGGGTGGCTATATAGTGTTATTGAAGACTTCTTGATTCTGAGGGGTTTGTTTCACTTACCAACATCCAATGAGGCACATAGAGCCCCTAGGGCACGAAAGAAGGAGTACATAGTCATTGTGAGAATGAAAATGAAAAGCAGATTTATAAAGAATTGTGAGGGTGTTCGAGCAAGATTTGCCATGCTAATCCATCATTAGTTTGATCCATGTATAGAACTCAATGAGACTCACAAGTATACTACGATATCAAATAGAACGACTTGTATGAACACGAGAGGCACATCAACCACAACCTGGGCAAGCGCATATGCCGCAGGCCGATAGAAGGAGCTAGAAAATATTAGTCCCATCATTTTTCCTTTTTTTTTTTGTAGTCCTCACAAGCTTTTGTGTTTCATCAAAATTGGTCGGCTCCCAAATGCTGCTGTCAGCTCTGCCATAGCAAGCAATGAATTGAAAAGCAGTATAAGGAACATCACACCACCCCTAGTAAAAACGCCAGAACTTGAAACGGTGAGCCATATGGAGTCTCTTCGCATTTGGAGAGGCAATTGCTTACCTTGTATCGGGAAGGTTGTAAAATAAACTACCAATAATGAGGGCTTGAAAGGTTATCACACTCCACTTTCCAATCAACGAATCTCTATCACCAATCATTACCAGAAATTGACGATGTGTGAGAATCATAACTTGTTTGTAGAATGAGATAGTGAAGTTTTTTCGTTTGGCCTCACTTCTTGCAGCCTCTCTCTCCTGCCTTTGGCTCTCGATATCGCCCTCAAAACTTTTAATATCCGCTAAACTGCTTTGGTAAGTATCACTTTTGCGATATGCAGCTTGAAATTCAGCTGCATTCCGAGGAATTCGGTTGTCCCAGCCATCTTTGACACGTCGCGCATAGGGGTCATTGACAGAAGTCAAAAAGTCGGGAGTTGTCCAACGCGGGGGGCATTCAAAGCCCAGCCCTTCGAAATAGGCCTTTGCGTCCTGGGTAGGGCCGAAGAAAGAGCATTTTCCCTCTTCGATTAGAATCACCTTGTCAAAAAGGTCAAATAGATTCTCCGACGCCTGGTAGAGAGCTACTATCGTTGAAACGTTGGCGGTATTTGTTAGACTTCGCAAGCTTTGAACATACTCTAGCGCTGTACTGGCGTCCAAACCCTTGGTAGAGTTGTCCCAGCACTGAGTACTAGCCTTTGTAACCATAGCTTCCGCAATTGAGGTTCGTTTCTTCTCACCCCCAGAAACTCCACGAATGAGTTCGTTCCCAACTTTGGTTCCCAGAGCATGTTCAATCCAGAACAACTTAGCTATGGCGGTCAAGAATGTCTGCTGGTATTCCTTTCGGCTTTCTCCTGGTATTCTTGAGGCTTTGTCGGGGGTTCGAGCTTTCAAGGCAAACAGCAGTGTATCTCGCACAGTCAAAGTTGCATAATGGAGATCATCCTCGGGGTTGTACAAGACTGATAGTTTTAGTTCGGAATCATGATCACACAGACAGGGACACACCTTCTGACCTATACTCCTTTGCCATTTTTTCAGAGTCTGTGCCGCCATACCGCACATCGCCTTCAATGCTTTCGTAGCCCGCTCGTTGATTGCCAAGCATTTTCAAGAAAGTGGAACAGCCAGAGCCAGGGCGGCCCAGAACAAGAAGCATCTCCCCCGGACGAACACAACCCTTGATACGAGATCAGTCGGGCATATCTCTAGGGGTGAGAAATATACTCACATTGAAATCATCTAAGATAGTTCGTATCGCTGCTTTTTTGGCCCGGGCACCGTTTCTGCCTCGAGTGAGTAGTTGCTTGATGAGCCGTGGTAAGCCGAGAAAAATATCTCCGTTGGTGGGTTGTAGAGCAGCTCCGAGGCCCACACCTTTTACGGTGAGGTTTTTCCATACAACTCCAACATGACGTGTTTTCTCTTCTTCTGAATTTGCTTTGCGCTCAGGGCCGAACATCCGTGAGATCAGTCTTTCTATCTGGGCCCATTCCTCTCCCTGAGGATCATGACCGGAGGCTTTGTGTCGAGATTGAGTACGTGCGAGGCCATCCTCAGTTTTCTTTGGCGCTGTGGAATCTGCCTGGGTGTCTGATGAGGCAGTGCGGGTTGGCGTGTAAGCTTCGGATGGAGACGAACTGGCTTGCGAAGATGAACCTTCAGAGGAAGAAACGGAATTTCCAGGAATGTGTTCTGGGTTTGCAGATGATGCGGACTCGCTTTCCATGGAATGGTCGTTTGCCATGGTCGTTATTTTGAGGTTGAGTCCAGGTCTTTTGAGGTATGCGATTATGAGACAACGTGATATTGGATGACTATATATGTAGCTGAGCGCAACACATCGGTCTGCGACGATAAATATAAACAGAATCACTCCGCATGGATATCATGAATGTCAAGAAAATGGAAAGGAGTGTAGGCATTACGTCAAGTATCATTGCAAAAAAGAGAACTCGGGGTGTCGGAACAGGAACGAACCGCAATATTACCCAGACCGTCTCTTATTTGCTTGATTTTGTAGCCGGAGAAGACTGTAAACGAGTACATGTGTGGTGAGGTCATCGCGTCCGGTTCTATTATACCGTGCGATTCTTTCCTTCTGAGCCTACCAACCATAAACTTACTAAACGTGAACAATTAATTTCAACCAATTTCTACTAATTTCCAGGAGGTCGTATCGACGTGCGATGCATTTCAATCCCCCGCAGTTTGAGTTGTCTCCGATCATGAAGTCATCGATCGTACAATATAGACATGGATGTCATGGAGTCATCTTGAATGCCATTAGTTCTGAGCTTTCGATCCTTATTCTTTGGCTTCTGGTTTTAATTATTTGGCTTCAAAATTGTATTTTCTCATATATAATAAATATACTCGCCCTGGTTGTTTCCCACTGAACAAGCTTCGCCGATTTGTACTCATTGTTTTTTTTTCCTTGGGGTACCATTGCTCATTGTCGTAAGTATCTCAAATCCATATTGTTCATGTAATTCTAAATAGATTGCATTAAGAAGAAGAGTTGTTGGGCCCTAATGCCTAGGCAATTATATCTAAGCGTGTCAGTATCACCTGCTTTCGACCCACGAAGGTTGACCGCTTCGATTATTTGATTCTCAGGCTGATCTTTCAAATTATATAGCTTTTATTTTGGAATAAAGCACCTCGTGCCCGGAAACATAATGAGCAGTGCTGTCAGCATTACCTTCCTACCTATATAGGAATATAAACATCTACGGAATTGATTACCGACAACATTTACCAACTCATTTTACTACAGCACAAGAGAACCCTATTTGTGTCAGTCTACCAAACAGGTGTGACGAGAGTAATTCTACTATCATGACCTCGTCATTCTAGGACAAGGTATTCAAGCATATCAGACAAATCTTGACTGCATTTATCAATGCAAAAGCTAGATAGAGCAGCACGCCATGATTACAGCATACTACTCTCCGGTTCAGTAGTGATAAATCTCTAGATTCCACTCTAGGAGTAGGGCAGATGTATCTCTCAGCCTAGAAACCATTCCGGCTTCTTCTGCGGTGTTCTTGTGCAACTCTGGTAGCAATGAAGCCCCATCGCGCTCACAGATTTCTCCGAAAGGTGTTGGAATTTTTCCATTTATCCACTCCCTCATCAAAGGGTGCAGTCAAAGCCCGCAGCAAGTAGGTCTCCAGCCTTTTCGTGGTATTGCTTGCCAAAAATTAATGACAGGTTCAGTGCTAAGCTGTGGTGTGTTGCTACCACCACACCTCCTCTTCACAGCATCTCCGCTAGCCGAGGATGTGACCAGACTGAAGCGAATGGTCAAGTTGATGATCCTCCTCGGTATACATTCGACGGCGCAGTTCTTGAAAAGCCAATCTCGACTCGCAGACAACTAGAGGGTCGAATTGTGAAACTCTGGAAGAAAGTCTGGCTGGGCCTTTATCAGATCGATGATAACGAGGATCGATACCATGTCGAACGACTGGAAGCACTTTCTCTCGGGCCGGCTTGACTCGCACATACCGAGTTGGCGAGCTTCAAGTTCTCAGGCGTCATTTTCTTCGAAGCGAGACCAACAATGGAATTGCTTCGCTGAAGCTTTTCCGGGGTCTATCACTTTCGGCCCTTCTATCCGTGATCCATATTCTGGAGGCTTATGAAAGTGAAATTGACAACTTGAGGCTGCTCTATTCCATCTTGCGAAGGGGTCAACTTTCACTGCATGAGACTGCTGATCTTGCTCAAACTGCTTTTGTCAGAACTGAGTATATGGCAATTGCGGAGCCGATGGAGAAGCGGATCAGACAGTATGATATTCGAATGAATGTGGTAAATATGGATATCTGCGATGAGGCAATGGGTTTCTATGAGCGACAAAAGGGGGAATATATTTACCACAAGGCATTCCCGAATGCGTGGTAAATACGGGGAGTTTGGTTCCATCCTGTCCCGTTTCACAGTGACTAAACTAGTATTGGACTTTGAGTACAATCAGTATAAGTTGGATCAAATATTAATGTAATAACTTCAAGGACGTTTGAATAATAATAATACTCATGAATTTTAGACATGGCATTCACAAGTTGTCCTAAAATTGGGTTGCTAGGATACATGGACCCCCCCCCCTTTTTTGGCTAATGCGACCCTCCTGCCTGATTTTCCGAGATTCAGCTTACCGCCCTCCATACCGCCTTAGTGTCAAACTCCCTAGTAAGACAGAATTAAATTGATGGGTTATATGTAAGGCTTAATAAGGCAGAATCAGGCAGAGGGAGGTCGAATTAGCAATTGGGGGGGTCCCTGTAACAATCCCAAAATTCTAATAGTACATAGTTCCAACCTTCTTGCAAATATCTCTTCGGGGCCCCGTAATCCCTCAAATGCGGCATTATAGAGAACAAGTTGCAATTGCAGCCTGAAACCTAGGCGTGCACAGGTGCTATACTAATCCAGGTACCTACAGAGCTTTAAAATCACATCAATCCATCTTCCACATCACCTTCAGTTGTTTAATAGCATCCCCATACATCCTTTCACGCACCTGATTCCCCTTCCAAAAAGAGGGCTTTTTATCAAATCCATTAACAACATCCTCAACCACAAACCCGCCTATACTCGCCATTTTCCCGTCTTCAACGAACCCACCAAGCCTTTCCCGGAACGTATTCCCTTCAACAAGCAATTGATCCTACCCACAAGTATAGATCGCCACAGCAGGCGGATACGCCGCATGCAACAGAGATGCAGGTGCCAGACCAGGTGAAAGATAAGGATGCGACATATCCACCCGGCCAGTCCCCGGCCGTTTCGGTAGGCCCGCAGCGAGAAGGTAGGAATCGTCGAAGAACTTGAATAAAGAAGGGGAAATCATGGATTTTTGTGGGGCGATAAGATTTGTAGCGTCGCGCTCTTTCCGCGTTCGTGTCCAGTCGGTGCCGGTGTAGAATACTACCAAACCAGCCAACGCTACCTCCCCGCGTATCGACGCCCAGCGCTTTTTCTGTAGTTCATCGTGCAGTCTGAATGGCATTGCTAGAGCGAGATTCCCGCCTGCACTGGCTCCGCTGAGCACAAAGCGCGTTTTGTCAAGATTGTACTTCTTTGCTTCTTGATAGTATAGCATCGACGCCGTCCTCTAGTGCGACGGGAAAGGGTTGCTCCGGGGCTAGACGGTAATTAACGCTTACAACCACAGCATCTGGGTAGGCTTTTACCACGGTACCGGCCCAGCGGGCATCATCACGAGCATGGCCGACAGAGAAGCCTCCGCCATGGAAGTTGATGAGGACGGGACGGGGTGGGCATGGCTTGGTTTGCTTGCGAGGATAGAGGGGGTTTGAGAGTGCGGTGAAGAAGTATAGTTGGATTGATCCCGGGGCTTTGCTGACTGTGGACGGAATAGCAATTCCGACGCTTGGTCCTGGGGGAAGTGGCCAGGAGAGGTATCGGTCTAGTATGGAGAGTAGGTGGGCGAGCATGCGATATCGGTGTGCCTTGTTCCTGAGAGCGGAGCGGGACGGAGAAGGTGATATGGGTGCCATACTATACTGCAATGAAATATTTTTGTACAAACGGGCGAACAATTGATGATAGTTATGTGGTGTTATATAGATGAATGATGTAACTTGTTAGTCACTAGACCTGAATGATCCCTGTCAGATGTTAGTCAACAAATAAAGGGCCATTTTGTGTATTATATGATTTGAGTGTTGAAATTAGAAGCGAACTGTTGCAGTAAAGTGCTAATATTCTAATGGTGGTTGAGGCTTTTTTGTCCCCATTCCCGAGTCGTATATAGGTCGGACTCCAAGCTTCCAGATAAAGAGGAGAATGCCTGGTCGTTTATAGGTTTCCCAATTCGAATTTCCATCACATTAGAAAAGAGAGACATATCAATTTACCCATTCTTCACATCTCCAAATTTTCTGGTCTGTGCCCTAGACGCCGGGATCGGCAAGCCGAGCCCGAATTTGGAGGTTTGCACGGAGTACTCCGGAGAGCATACATTATTTCGACGTAGTTCGCATTATCTCAGAGCAGGTTACGGAGCAGTTAACCTATTTCATCGGAAACTTCTCCGAAGCGTAATCGGAAATTCCCCACCTCCTCGTAGGCCAGGATCCCTATTCCCCACGTCAACGACGTCGGCACGAAAGACTACAGCCAGCCTGTGCATCATCTCCGGTCGATATTTGACTTGGAGGATATAGGGCACGAGAATTCTGCTAAGGTGCTGAGGGGAAACTGTATTTAAGTCAACCCTTGTGTTCTAAACTCGGTATATCCAACATTTCAGCGAATTTTCTGTTCCTTCAATTTTGAGACCCGGGGGGGGGGACTCCGCAGCTCGACATCCTACAAAGCGTATCTTGTACTGGGAATCCAACGTTCTTACCAGCGTGTTTCGACAGTGTTGAACCATGGATAGTCAGATGCATTCGAGTTCGGTTGAAATTAAATCGAGATGGGACAACAAGTACTGCAGATACATATTTCACCTTAGTTGGTCTCTCACCTTGGCAACTGGGAAACACAAAGTACAACATATATAGCGATGGACGCAAACGTAGGTGCGCTGGAGTGAATCTTGGTACTACATGGATCTCCTGCAACTCAGAGAGATAACAAAAGCTAAAATAGTGTATACAATGCCTGCCTCGATCACCAACACCCCATTTGCACCTTCCCCCACGGTCATTTGTCTTTGTTTTTTTTCTTTTCTCCGGATAGCTTTATAAGATTACTCCTCATTCGACCAATACCATGGGTAGAAAAGATGCGTATGCATGTCAGGTTTGAGATACTATAGGCTACTCGGAGACGGACCAACGGAATAAAGAGTACATCAGCATAAACCGGAGCCAACGGTCTCATCTATCAAACATCCAACCTGTTCTTCCACTTGATCCCTTAGAAGATGGTGTCCTATTATAGCGTTTGAATACACAGTGTCTACCCAATCATGCATATAGTGATATTTACTTTCCTAATTCACTATCATCGGCATCAATTGCCAACGCTGGTGGCGACTTTGAAAAATGCACTAGGACGTGGCATCTGTTAGTCCACAGTCACCGTAGTTACATCATTTGATAGCAATCGCCGAGTGAGGTCACGGTCTAATCATCTGCACCTCTAACTGGTAGCTCATTAAACTATACCCCGCATCCGCAGTTCGAGCTAGGATGAGACCACGCGACAATTTCCCCAGATAAAAAGCCAAGACGCCAAGAAGTGCATCGCCAGCGAAATGTGGAAATTTTAGAGCGATACTGCCCAATGCCACAAGTCATGGGAGTAGGAAGACTCGGGCGTATAATTTTGCATGTTTATCTTATATTGTACAACAACATGGGTGAATTTATTTTGCAGTACTCCGTACTCCGTAATAATCTCAATAATGACGTGCAGCCGCTGGAGTCAATCTCGGGGAAAATAGGAGGACAAATCGATCTTTGTCCCCCTTCAAATCGGCCCAGGCCGTTTTCAAACCGTCGGCGCTGGTTGGGCAGGTGTTTCAGATAGGTAGACTCGAATGAAAGACAAGAACCGTATCACTACGGGTAATTTAGGAAGCTAAGTTTCAGAAATGATTGGCTGTGATTGATATAAAGGACCGAGAATCTACTAATTACCTTAGTGACTGTTGATCCGGGTAACGGACATAAAGAAGAAAATGCGACGGGTGTGGACGAAAAGGGGCAAAGGGCAGTTCCCGGAATGTGTGAATAGATTCAATAATTGAAGATCACGGGGCAAGCTTAGCTTTCACCATGTCTATACTCCGTACATATTCCGTTTTGCGGAGGATTACAGGGGGGAACCCCCTTTCTCCACCAGCCCTTACTCCTTCAGGGCGTGAACAAAAAAGCCGCAGAACAAAAAAAAGCCTCAAATCCGATACATAGTTCCAGCCAGCTGGTATTCGTGTCACACGCAAGGCAGGAAAAATGAAAATGATCAGCAGAGTTAAAAAAAGCGAAGACACTAAGTACGTAAGTGAAACAAATCGCGCAAAAAATAACTAATTGTTTCACAAAGAATGGGCTCCGGGTAGAATTTGACAAGAAAAGAAAAAGGAAAAGCTCTATGTTCCCGACGCCGTAGCCGGTTCGGGATCCGCCACTAACGGGGAGAAGGATCTGGGGTTGTATCGCAGAAATGCACATCCCGAGGCGACGGCGACGGTGGCCGATAAAAACCCATACATTCATAGCAGACCGCTCATGTGCGATATTAATTAGGAATCATTCTTCATAGTCTGTGGTCCAGGCCATCGCCTTCGGCGTTGGAACGTAATATGCATGGGTTTCTGCCTTTGGGGCTTGGATCTGGAGTACTGCTCGGAGCCTGGCTTTGATCTCATTGCACCACCATAACGAGCGATTATCGTCGCCCAGCAAAAACCAGTGAAAATAGGGCTAGGACCCAGCGGCAATATCTTCTACCCACCCGATCATCCTAGGAGGTAGAAATATAAGCACTCTGATTGGTCCCCACCGCCGCGATCAATGGATGCATGTGGCATCATCCTCGGCTGGTTAAACGCCGTTATTTGCTGCTGAGTCCTGCTCCCAGACAGTCGTTCCGAGTTTGTAGCCGAGCCTATTGCCATCCGGGGGTGACAGGGTGAGTTTCTTTTTGTTTTCCTTTCCACGGGCAACACATTCCGATATCAATTCGGGTTGATGCGAGCCGAAAACAGAAGAGATGGGGAATCGTGAAGGGTTAAGGTTGATCGACGAGATTAGGTCAGCTCCCCGCGATTCTGAGTGGGCTAGACTAGGAAATTCTTAGACGTATATCGATTTGGTGAAGTCATTATGCGTCATTCCTGTCGTCCGTGGCTGAAGAATTCCTAGATTTGGGGAGGCACTTTTGGTAAACTCTTTTTTACGAGGTTTGAGGAACTAATGCTCAGATGATTGACGAAATGTAAAGTTCGCCCACGTAGACTGGGGTGTTAGCCGCAAGCGTCAGAGCAGCATAAAAGGGCCCCTAAACTGGTCTCATGCACTTCTCCTTGTAAACTACCCAGGAAAAAAAATTCATTGAGTTATTTTTGATTCTAGAACTTCTATCTGGTTCCCACTAGTATTCGCCTTCCCGGTCATAGATCCCCTTGTTCCGAATCAAGTTCGTGCCCATTTGAATAATTCGGGTCAAGTCGGACTGCGCCTCCAGGTCTTTGCAACCCACGGCAGCACTTCATCCCCATCCATCAACCGTGTTCCTCAGCTCGGCGTTCAGCCCCGACATCACCCGTGGAACTGTGGAGAAACACTACGGAAAGTGCACGAGAACCCTCCTTCATACCAAGACCGATCGTGACCATGGCCTCTCTCGGAAAGGATTATATACCCCTCGACCGCTCCAATTCTCCTGGTCCTCTGGCATCAGATTTCTCTCAACAACAAGTCGCTAAACAACGCAACAATAACTATCACTCTACTTCACTCAGAAATATGGTTGCCACATCTGTGAATCGCACTGCCTTGCACCCTGGCGGTGTTCAGTATGCTACCTTCCTATCTCACTGTCCATACCTCATCGTCGCTAACTGTCTTCACTTAGGCCTAGCAAGGGTCACACCGAGCTTGAGGAGGAGCTTCACGAGACTGCTCACATTGACTACGACCGTGTCTCCATTGTAAGACCTCACCACCCTTGCGCTAGACATTTGATTACAATGTCCATGTCGTCTATCTTGCTTCATCTACTAACATCATTTAGATTGCCAACCCCTCTGTTCCTGCCCTTTACGAAGATGCTCTTGTCTACGAGACTGGTACTGCTGTTACCTCCAGCGGTGCTTTGAGCGCATACTCCGGTGCTAAGACTGGTCGTTCCCCCTCCGACAAGCGTGTCGTCCAGGAGGCTTCCTCAGAAAGCGATATCTGGTGGGGACCCGTAAATAAGCCCATGACACTTGATGTGAGTAAACTTTTTGATTCTTTATGCGTGATTTCACTGGATATGTCATTGTCCATACATATTGGAGCACACCCTTGCAGATGGGCCCGAGGAGATCCACTTGGATCCCTTGCATATGCATCGGGAGGTCAAGCTTTTCGGCAAGACTTTGTGCAACCTTTTGGGTTGCGGTCTCTGCCGAATAATCCCTCATTGCCTTTCATCATCATCCCAGGGAATATTTGAATATTTCCTTCCCCCAGTTTCATTGCCCATTAGTTGCCCCCCAATTTGCCCCTCGGCTTTCATTTGCGGCTCCGCAATCCCCGCCCTTGGCCCGATGACATCACGTGCATGACGTCAACAATAAGAATGGTGACTAATAGATTCCCCACAGGTCTGGCGTATCAACCGTGAGCGTGCTGTCGACTACCTGAACACCCGTAATCGCATCTATGTTATCGATGGTTACGCCGGCTGGGACAAGCGCTACCAGATCAGCGTTCGCGTTGTCTGCGCTCGCGCCTACCACGCTCTCTTCATGCGCAACATGCTGATTCGCCCCAGCCGCGAGGAGCTCGAGCACTTCCACCCCGACTATGTTATCTACAACGCTGGCTCTTTCCCT